AAGTAGTCTGATTTGGGCCACAAGTGAAGGTGCATAATATCGTTGAGGCAATGGTGACACCAATTTGTACACGTTTTTTGGGCAGTTATACCTCCATATTATCCAGTATATCATGAACTGATTTTTTATCATCATATTCCAAATGAACTGGGATATTAAGCCACAGATTTCATAAGCCTTACGTACTAATGATTTGAGTGTTAAAAACATTTTCTACTAAATGATGAGATGGGCTGAGAAGTTAGTTTTTTTTTGCTACACGACCTCTCCGTACGAATTAGTAAAGAGTTTTTTAATCAAAACTAAATGATTATTGGATTAGATATCCATTAATATGTTATAAGATTTTTTTGTCAATTACTAGAAACAGTGGACTCAGACTATCGCTGCCTCAACGATATAGGGAAAATTAACGAGTTTGTTTTGTGAAACGTTTTAATTTGTAAAGATTGTGAAACATTTTGCTATTACCTTGTCGTTAATTGCATCAAAACTCATCATTAAAAAACAAGGGATACAAACAGTTTTTAATTTTATGGCAACTAATATATGTCTCATTAGAAATGTTTTTTGTGATTGATTTGCAATCTTATATAACCTCATCAGTGAATAAATTACACATTCAAATCACGGTCTCCCAGTTTGAATTTTATATCATTTTATTTCAAATTCAATAATCAAATCATTATGCAAATCCATTATTTCCAATATTGGCTTATAAGTTATAACCAACTTATAATTAATAAAATACATTTATATTTATTATTTCATTTTATTATTGCTATAAATAAAATAAATTGTTGTTAAATAAAAACTAAATGTTAATATTAATATTTTTATTGATTTCCAATTGTCAAAGTTATATATGACCAAGCTTTAACAGAAGTTAAGTGTAAAGAACTAATATCTTGAAATATAGCATAACTTATAATCATTAAATAATACAACAACAAAAAATTAAAACAAATTAACAAGTTCAAACAAAAAATATTAAAAATTGTTTCGACAATATAAAATAATATGATATACTAACATTCAACAAATATTTAAATCTTAAACAAAATAATAGTCACAACTCAATATTTCTTAGATAAGTGTCAAGGGTTGTCACATTTATCTCATGTTTAGCTACCATGCTATAAATTAAAGTTTTAATGAGATTTTTGTTTTTCATAAATACTAAGTTATATTTGTATTACACATTTAATTAAAAGATTTGTATTTATATTGTTTCAAATGATGATACAATTAAAGTATTCTGGAATGTTTAAATATTGTATTCATTTTAAACATTACTTTCCATTAATACAAACATTTTTGAGATAAAATGAAAAATGTTTTGCTCGTAATTCCAGTAAATAACAGTTGTTTATTTTGTTTATAAAATTTTTGAGATTACATTTTAAAAAGGAAAATAATTAATTATTTAAAACCCTTAGCAGATTAATGTTACTATATAATGCAACTGTTTGTTAGACATTAATTATTGAGTAAATATAAATGTTATTAGCTATCTACTCAAGCAAATTCTAGTCTATAATTATTCAAATATATTTGATATTTTATAATAATTATTTTTAAATATATAGAATTAATATAATAATCATTAACATAAATATAATATATTATAAGATATAATAAATAATATTATTATAAAATTTAAAAATTTTAAATTTATTAGTTTCTATTATAAATATTTGAATTGTTCACAAACTAAATCTTTATAAAGATATTAAATAATTAATACAGTATGCCATACATTACAGAATTGTTACCGTAAATAAAAATTAAATATACTTTATAATATTAATAATCCTTTTAATAATGTGTGATATTATCAAAGATAAAATGTAATCTATAATAATGTTAACTATAAAAGCGATTCATTAATAAGAATTTTAGTAAAATTAATGATATTTAAATAAAATCATTTAAACATTATTTCCCAAACTTTATAAGACTAATGTATTTAATATTAATGTATTTTAAATCTTCTCTTACAAAATTTTTAAATAAAATCTAAAACTAACAAAAA